TTATTTTAATATTATATTAATATTATAAAAAAATTCATGGCGAAGATTTTCCTCATGCACGTAGATTTTTTCTTATATATGCATCCTGAAGCGGGAGGAGGAGAATCAAATTTTTACCTCATACATTGCTTACTTCTATTGTAATTTACGGCAAGACCTCGTCCAGGATTCATGAAGCAAAGAGCTTGAATTAAGTGGGAAAAATGAAATTTTCTTGCACAATAATATTAATATAATATTAAAATAAGGTATACGTCACAATGTTAATATCATCAATAATTGGTAACAAACATGTGGCAAACTATAGAGATATACTAGTAAGGTCATGGAGACCTAAGGGAGAAATTAAAGAGTGGTGAAACCGACCAGTTTTTAAGGTTATCACAAATCTTCCACCGTCTATATGTGTGATGTATATGTTGTACATTTATGCCTAATGCGTATGTTGTAGATTATAGACGGATGTATATGTTGGGGATTACATGCATGATGCATATGTTGGGGATTATGTGCAGAAGCATACTATGATGCATCTTTGAAATATGATTTGAAAGTCTTAGTAAATATGATTGATTTTATGCAATTAATATGATTGAAATATGCATGAGGATCCTGAATTAAACAAATAATGTTGAATGCAATATTCTGAATTATGTGTAATTCAAGTATGCTTGGATAAATTGATTTTAAAGTCTATGTCATATGTTTCAATATTTTTTTATATCTATTATTTATGAATGAATGACTAATATGTTTTTGAAATATTTAAAGTTTATATAATGAAAACATTTTATAATGTTGGCTGGGGAGGGATAATGAGACTCGTCCTTGCACCAATATTAGATAGATGATTTGAATAGTTTGAATAGGAACTTTCTCTGATGGAATTACAACTTTATTATACTTGTCATTTTGATAAACGTCTAAAAGTATTCAAACTCATTTGATAAATGTAAACCATGTCACATATCCATGTATATTATTTCTTGTTTACAAATTTTGTCACTTAAAACCATAATTTATAATGATTTTCAATTTTTATGAATTTTCCAGGATTAATGTTGAGATTTTATGTAATATTAGTGTAAAATATGTTTTTTTTATGTGATGTCTTTTTTATCATATTATTAATTTAAGTATATTTTAAAATATGATTATTTTTTATCAAATTTTGACAAAAGGAAGATATGAGATAAATGTTTATATATATATATATATATATACATATACATATATATATCTATATATATATGAATATATATTATTATATTAGTATGGCAATAATCATTAAAGTTGCAAATATTTAAAAAAGTGGTTGATTTATCAATAATAGTTGTCTTCCATCTTGATCCGTCAATCTATTTAAGTTAATATTTTAGTTATAACATGCACAAGAGATAATAATAGGGAAGTGAGAATAATTCTCATGTAAAATAATATAATCTCAAAATGATATATAAAATCAACTTCTCAATTTCATCAACCTATTCCATTTATTTTATATTATGAAAATTTGAATTGATTTTTGTAATTTAGTATGGATAAATGAGCACAAAATTAATCATTATTTAAGTAATATTTATTCATTTCAATCTCCAAGGTTTAACCTTCATCTACATTATTTAAGAATATTAACACTTGGACATACTTGAAATGTTTAGTAATTCATCATGCTAGTCCAGGTTGTATAACTTTCGAAGAAACCATCATAGAGAATATGATCTCGTATCAATTCAACTTGTAGTTGTCTCCCATTCAAACAATTAATTAATGGACAAAACATTCTTCCATTCTTATGCACAACTTTTGACCATTGTGCAAACTTTATAAATTATTCAACGTCATTCTCATATTTCTCACTTATTCAACTAGAATTTATCCAGCTTCGATCCATAACTACATAATATTCATAATAACTTTTTTTATGCATAATGACATTTATAATAATGGTAAATTAAATCCCTAATTCTTAATTTTTTTCCTAATTCTAAAATTAAATCACTAATTATATAGAATCTCTAATTCTAAATTAAATTAATAATTCTTAATTTTAACTTAAATCCCTAATTCTAAATTAAATCCTTTATCCCTAATATCTAATTGTATACTAACTTCCTAATTATAAATTAAATTCTCAAATCAAAATTAAATCCATAATCTCTAATTCTACACAAAATCTAAAATTGCAATTCAACAAACACTTATCACATTATCAACACTCACAAAATAAATAAAGATAAAAAATAGTTTATACAGTATCTCAAACACAATAGTAGGCACGGGGAAGTGACACAAAGACGTTTTGGACAAAGGGTGGCAAACATGATGGTGGGCATGACGGGGGTAGCAAACACGATGGTGGGTGGCAATTTCATGACATGGTGGTGGACGGTGCAGGGCACAACAAATGTAGCACGATGGTGGTGATGCAGATGGTGAATGGTGCTCCCAAACGGTGGTGGATGCTTAACTACAATAAATGGAGCAACAAAAACGATGACAAATGATGGTGACACGATGATGCAGCGAGTTGTTGGCAAACGATGGTCACATGGCGCAATGAAGGTTGTGTTATGTTGTAGTGAGCTACAACATTAGCTTGAATGTAGTGAGTGAGGAAATGGTTGAAATTAAAAAAAAAAAAATAGATACTATATCAGTTCCCCTTTGAACCAATGTAGTATCTCCTCTCAAATTTTCAAAAATACCATCGTGCCTTATATGACATCGGTTTTAGTACAAATGTTGTCTTATCTTGTTGTAGAATGCCCTCCTTACACTTATATGAATAACTCATGTCTCATTTTTTAAAATCTCTCTTTTATTAATCTCTCGAACATACGTAACAATAATTCACCTTAAGTATATTCATTATCATCGTATCATTATTATAATCTTAGATTTTTTTTAAAACAAAAAAAAACTAAAATTGATAAATATGTCTTTTTTTAATTAATAATATTCACTAATTCATGAATAATTACACTATTCATAATGAACTCATTAAAATCATTTTTCATCTTTTCCTTTAACTTTTTGTCCTAATCAATATTATTCTCTTTCCCTTAAACTAGTTTTTATCTCAACTTGTTTTTATAAATTATTTTTCAAAAATTAATAAAAAATTGTTTTTAAATACTAAAGCCTTAATTTTTTTTTTCTAGGGACAACCTATTTAATCTTTACCTTTAACAACTATTAATAAGTTGGGTTATCCACGTAACTCGCTACATATATTGCTCACCTTGACTGCTAAATTAACTAATTTGGTACTTTATTAGGGATTTAATATTAATTAATGTATAATATTCAATTTGTTATCAAGTTGTATTAGCTCAGTGGTAGAGTGCGTGACTTTTAATCACGTGGTTGTGGGTTTGATGCCCACATATGGCGAATGAGTACAATTTTTTTTTATCTTGAGACAAGTCTCCACGTAATTGGTTATAGGGAGAGAGACATACACGAGTCTCGATTTTTATCCCTCGTTGTGTATCGAGTAACTCAAACATCATTTTCGCACTAATCATTATTACTGACATTGTAGTTCAGAATGAGGTTATTAATCTTTTTTTCATGTTGTTTCCCTAGACCTAATTTTATCTAGATTTTATGGCCTTTTTTGGGCTTGACTTATAAAGTCGATTATTATCTGATGACGCTATTCTCGGGTTAATGGGCACAAGTTTCAAAATGTATTAAGGCGAGTTATAGTTAGATACATACCAAATTATGGGAAGTGGTTAGTTTGAACACTACACAACCCCCAAGCCTTAAGATCTGAAATGTGTCACGTCCTTCACATCACTCACACGTGTTAAGTTTACTCTTGACATTCGTGTCGTTATTTATCACATGTAAATGTACTGTAACTCGTTGTTGTAGACCAAACTCATAGGGTCGCATTATAGACCGATCTCATAGGGTCGCATTGTAGACTGACCTCATAGGATCGTTGTTGTAGACCTACCTCATAGGTCCGTGTTGTAGACCGACTTCATAGAGTCACATTATGACCGACCTCATAGGGTTGTGTTATAGACCCACCTCATAGGGTCGCATTGTAAATCGACCTCATAGGATTACTGTTGTAGATTGATCTCATAAGGCTGCGTTGTAGACCGATAATCTCTAGAATATCATTTTATTAAGCTTTCTTGGAGGAAAAACCTTGGGGGGGGGGGGGGAGAAAAAACCTTCAAGATGATTAGTACAAACATTTATTTACTGAAAAGCATGAAATAAATCAACTATAATAAAATCGTAAGTGTCGCCTCCATCAAAAAAGGCGGTCGGAGCGACGCGGTGGTTTTGATTGACTCGCATTTTTCAAGAAGTGGTTCAACGCCTTTAGGTTGTCCGATAACCGGGCTGAATCTAAAGGCGAGATTTTCAAAAAGGTTCGAGGGAGTCACCATCGATGTTTTTACCATAAACATCGAAAAAGAAGAAAAGAGAAGAAGGCATTGGTTTTAGAAAAAACCAACTTTGGTCACTCTTGGTAGTAATTGATTTACGATGCTCCTTGGAATTACTCTGAGTCTTGGTTGAAAAATGACCTATCTACTGATCTGACAATTGTTTAGCCAACTGTCCAACGTGTTCTTCAATATTTATAATCAAAGCTTCTGTATTTTTCTGATTGGTCATAGAAGTTTGCATAAACTTTTTTAGAGTATTCTTTAATTTGGTTAATCTTTCATGCACAAATGGATATTATTATTGTTGTTGATAAGGAGGTTGTCTATTTAAAGGAACAATATCTTGTTTCCATCCAAAATTCTGATTTTGATTGGTTGTCCACCCCTGTGAAAAGTTATTATTGTTGGAGAAATTACTTGTTCTTCCTTGATTACTCACATATTGAACTTCTCCTTCTTGTAGGCTATTCTGAAAAGAACAATGACCATTGGTATGATCACCACCACAAAAATCACATCTCATGGGTTGTTGTTAACTAGAAGAAAATTGTACTGCTTGCAACTTCTCAGGTAATTTAGACATTTGTTTAGTTAATGCTTCCATTTGCTGAGTCAGAATTTTATTCTAAGCTAAGATTGCATCTGTTGTAGTGAGATCACACATTGAGCTTGATGGTCTGTTGATGCTAGTGCCTTAATGATTCTTGTTGCTTGCTCTGCATCACTGACATCATCATTCCTCCAGCTGCTTCATCTAATATCATCTTGGTATCAGGCCTCAGGCCATTGCAGAAAATATTTAGCTGAACAATATCTTCAAATTCATGATTTGGACATCTCCTTAATAAAGAATTAAATCGTTCCCAAGCTTCATAGAATGGCTCATATGGTCCTTGCCTGAAAGTAGAAATTTCAGCTTTCGCCTTAATGTAACGAGAAGGTGGGAATAATCTATTCAAGAATTTATCTTCTACATCACTCCAATTGTTCAGACTCTGATTTGGATGTGACTTAAGTCATTCCTTTGCTTTTCCTATTAATGAGAAAGGAAACAAATGCAGATATACATGGTTAAGATCTCCTTCTACAAAACACATAGTGCCTATTAGTTCATAGAATGTAGAAAGATGATTATATGGATCTTCATTATTCATTCCAGTGAATTGATGAGAATTGATTAAGCTAAGGAAAGTTGGTTTCATCTCCAATGTTTTAGTGGTGGGTGGTATTGTTATGCTAGAAAAGTATCTTGGCCCTTGTTGCATAGCATAGTCTCCAAGTGTTTTCCTGGGTGGGGTTCGTCCTTCTTCCTCCATATTTTCTATTTCCTTATGTGTGATGGATGTATTGGAAGATTGTTCCTTTGCTTTTCCTTGCTTCTTCTTGTTTTTTCCTTTATTCCTTCGAGCTGTCTTTTCTATCATCGGGTCAAATGCCAATTGGTCTTTAGAGACCTGACCTCGTAAGAACATAAATCAAAACAGCTCCAGCAAGGACTACTACAAAAGAGAAACTAAATAAACTATTTAATTAATAAAAATATTCATAAAGCTGGATGAGATAACCACAAATTTCAAAAGAACACCGTCTCCAGCAACGACGTCATAAATACTTGTTGATCTCTTTTGGTAAGCGTACCAATAGCCAACTGTAGTATAATGATTTTTTAAGTGAAAGTGTCTATCCCACGAGAAATGGGTTCAATTAAAACAAACAGTTTCTCTCAAACAACATATATACAAGGATATTCATTTGATTTATGATTGATAGTAATAATTTATACTAAATTTGCATGAAAATAATGTAATGGCAGTAGATTGATTAGGAAAAAATTCAAAGAGAGAAGCTGAGATTGAATTTCATCCATCTCACTCGTCTGTAATCTGGATGAATATAAGCATACAACGTCTGAATTTACCAATATTGATGCAACACATAATAATCATTTCGTATAAAATTCATAAGACTGATTCCCTGGATATCGATTCCTCACATATCCAACAAACTATCCAGCATTCTTTTCAAGTGTTAAAAACAGTTGATATACTGAAATCTATTTCTAGCATCACAATACATCAAGTATTTTTGTTCAGATCAGATTTTCAAAAATACTTTTCAGTCACGTCTAAAAATCACATTCATGAATCTATTGATCAGATAGAATCAAACATTAAGAGCAGAACAAAACTACCACCAATATTGAATACAAACAAAAAAGTTATATATAAATATCACCATATTACATCCGAGTTCAAATCGATTACATTCAATCCTAAGAGAAAATATTAGTCACTCATGGTAGTCATTGACATTCTAAGAGAAGAAGAAAAACCCTAAAGCTAAAACTGAAGAAGAACTTTTCTAAAACTTGTCGAAGTCGATGCCCCCTGATTCTTTCTCGTTTCACATTCTAACTCACAAAGTATATATACTGCACGAGTCGAAGTTGATGCCCCCCGATTCTTTCTCATTTCACATTCTAACTCACAAAGTATATATACTGTACGAGTTCTCACCTAAGCTAAATTATTCTCGCTTGAGTGAGAATGAATTTCAAATTGATCGTTTTCTGGACGAATCTCGTTCAAACGGGATCATTTTCGCTTATGCGAGAATGGCTTGCAAAATGATATTCCTCCGATCAACTCTCACGTAGACGATATCATTCTAGTTTGAGCGAGTTGTGACAGGGTTTCATGTCTTTTTCCTCTGTTTCTTCATTTCTTCTTCTTTTAAGTCATTTTCTCCTTCTCTCTTAATTTACCTAAAACATATACAAAATGAGGATCAAATGATTTCCTTTTAATTAAAACTCGGAAACATATGATTATATTTCATCATTCTTAGATTAGGGAAAATTGATACCAAATATACACAATTTGAAACAACAATGTCATAATTCCATATGAAAATTTACTACTTTTTGACACTTATCAACTCCCCCAACCTAGCATCTTGCTTTCCCTCAAGCAAAGTAATAAGAACCCAAACAACTTTTCAAAACTCAAACTTTGAAATTGGTTATTGAGAAATCATTTCATAGTTCCTTCAAGATGACTTTTGTCTTCCAAACTATAGATTCAAAATCAGAAGCAACTGGTAAATCCAATTGTCAAATAGAAGTAGGATAAAAGTGAAGCAAATTTTTCAAGACAAGTAATTGTAAGAACCATTGATTCTAACCAAGGAAATTCTCTCTTAAATCTCATAAGTAAGTGTTTCTCTCATTTTCCACTAAAATTGAATAAATCGAAATTGCCAATCATTTTCAATCAAACCACAAACACACAATCAACATGGATCTTAATGTCTTTTAAGGTTTGTAATGAAGCTGGACTTTAAACAATTATGGTTTTTCAGATAACAAAAGCACAACTCAAGAAAAGAGAGCATAACTACAATTTAGACCCACTTCCATTTCTACTCTCAATTCATCACATCTCATACCTCAAAACACAATGTTCTTTCTTTTTCATTCATAATTTACTCCCTCTTCTTTCTCCTTTTTTTTTTAATAGTATATACATTTCTATACAATACTAAGGAGTGAATTATATTACAAAATACTCAGCCCCCTTTCTTTCGGTAAGTACAATTCCACCAACCAATTCCCATTTTACAGTTGAATAAAATGCACCTATGCTCTCTATCCCTAGGTGTGCAAAGGGAAAGGATGATAATTAAAGTTAAGGTTAGGGTGCATAATTCAAAACAATTAAACTCAAATGGGTTATCACAAAAGGATAATTATTTCAAGGTTGGTTGCTTGGCACTGAGTTATTTACATTCAACAAAAATGCCTTAATCATTTTCATGTTTCTAGTGTAATGTTATCCGAATGAAAACTCAAACAATATTAACTTGACAACAAACGGTGGAAACTCTCAAGTTGTTTATAAATAGGAGGGGGGTGGAGTTAGTTAGAAAAAAAAAATTAAAGAGAGTGAGAAAAGGAGAGAGAATGAGGAAGAGAGA